ACAACTGACATAAATTCAAAGCACCTGCTTAACAAATTAAAATACAGGACAACAAATGACACAGTTTACTTAAATTTCACCTACTTTTAAACTTAACCTTGACCGTTTCTACATCTAAAAAAAGACTGAGAGATTTAAACTAAAACATTTATTAGACACTGGAGACTATGCTTTGGCTATGTCCACTCCTTGGGTTTAGTTGTCAAGACTAAGGTTGAAATAGCTATGAAAAAAATAGTCAAGCAGCAGTTATCATCTCACATCTTCTGGTAATTTCATTTTTGTAAACTGTTAGCAAAGTAAATTAAAAAACAGTTGAAATTTAAAATTATCAGTTTATACATTTTAAGTTTTAACAAAACATTTGTTTTTGCTTTAAACCACTGGTAAATTACAATGCAGCAGTATAAACAAGCTTAATAATTTCAGCGCAGAGTTCAAATTTTAACACAGAAATATGTAAAAAAAATTTTAAAACCCTTAATTAAAAAAACTGGATACTGTAATGAAGAATTCAGAGGGGGACATAATACCACAATAAAGTTACTGGATGCTAAGTCAAGACACAGAGCGAAAAACATGGAATACTGAAGTCCTGTTAAAAGATAACAGTAGATGTGACAAGTGTTAACAATTCCAGTATAATAACAGAGAAGGGTCAGAAGAGGGTTAGGCGGATTCCCCACCCTGTTGAAAGGCCTAACTGCCCCCACCCACAGTTTGATATCCTCTGGCATATGAAAGGCCCAGCTCCACAGTACTATATAACAAATCTCAAAGAGAAGCCATGACACTGAATTGTCTCAGCTCCATAGCTCCTGGAATGCAGAAACTTCCAAATTTCACAGTACTGACAGCCTAATAGGAACACAGCAAATTTGATGGGAAAGTTACATATAAGCCCATTAACATTAGTGAGTGAAAAAAACACAAAAGACTAAACCAGCATCAATAAGCTCAGTAAATCTTCAATGTCTTTAGTAATACCACTGTGAGTCAGAACAAGTATCACAAATTCTTTTATTTATCTATTTTTTGGATAATTCCACTTGCCATTCTGTCGTATAATATAGAATATGTTATTTTGTGCTTACTAAGAGGGGAGTGCTGGGAGGTGCATGAGAAACTGGAAATACTGGCAAAGGGAAGGTGGAGGGATGGTCACACTGGTGTTGTTGGAACACTGAATGTTTGAAACTGAGTTATGAACAACTTTGAAAATCATGGTATTTAAGTGTCAAGCATTAAAAAAATAATAGAGGGGCTGGAGTGATAGCACAGCAGGTAGGGCATTTGCCTTGCATGCAGCCAACCGGGGTTCGATTCCCAGCATCCCATGTGGCCCACCACGCACCGCCAGGAGTAATTCCTTAGTGCATGAGCCAGGAGTAACCCTTGCGCATTGCTGGGTGTGACCCAAAAATCAAAAATAAATAAATAAAATTTTCAAAAAAAAATACAGATATTAAGAGTAAATGAAGATGGAAAAATTGAATATATAAATATGAACTACCTCTGAAATCGTAGAATAGAAAAAAGGTTTAATGGTAAGATGCAATGAAGTTTTGTTGTATACTGAACGCAGGAAATTTAACTATCTTCCTAATTAAAGAAAAGGGTATGTGGAGCAATAGAAGAATAAGAGAAAGAGAATTAGTCCTGGAAAATAAATGCCACTTTCATTCAGAAAAGTAGTTCTTAGAAAAGATGAAGAACCCTATTCTGCTCATCTGATTTTTGTTTGAAAAGATGTATCAGTGAGGCCAAAAATATAGTACCTGGGCTAAGGGGCTGCCTATATCTTGCCAACCCCTGTTCAGATCCCTGACAGTACATGTGGTACCACCAGTCACCCCCAGTCACTTCTGAGCCAAGAGCCAGAAGATACAGCCTCAGAGGACCACTGTCATCTGTTCATCGATCTGCTTGAGTGGTCACCAGCAATGTCTCCATTGTAAGACTTGCTGTTACTGTTTTTGGCATATCGAATACGTCACGGGGAGCTTGCCAGACTTTGCCATGCAAGCAGAATACTCTCGTGACTTCTAGGCTCTCCAAGAGGGGAAGAGGAATCAAACCCGGAACCCGGATCAGCCTCATGCAAGGCAAACGCCTTACCTGCTATGCTATTGCTCTAGCTCATCCCAATAAACAAACAAACAAACAAATAAATAAGGTACCAACAAGTTGTCTAGCCTTATATAAAAGAAATTCTACCTTTAAATAAGATAGAAATATTTCCCACAGATTTTTCTGTGGGATAAAACAATGTGTCTCCTTTTTCACTTTTACTGGCGGCTATGTTATTATCTAATGAAGAGTATTATCAATTCAAAGATTTTAAGCTCTTATTAAATAGAAACAATATCCCTAAAATATCAAAAGTAAGTTATATTCTAGGCCAAGGAAAAGTACATAATATTTAAAAGCTGGAACATGCATTGCAATGCACAAAAACTGAGTTTAATCCCTGATATTACACGGTACCAGTGGCTCTCAGACACCACTGGACCCAAGCATTGAAACTCAGTATCTCTGAGAGTAGCCCTCAGGATTCTAGAGCACTGCTGGAGATGCCTCCAAACAAAACAATATTATTATATTTGCTTATTCAGAAATAACACATTATTTCATGTTAGAGAAGTAACACTGCATGCTTGTTACAGTCAAAAAGAAGAGTAACCATTTTAGAGAAAAAATTTAATCCTTGAACACCTAAAATTTGACAACAGCACAAAAAAAGGAAACATACTTTTGAAACTTTTGTTTTTATTAATCAATACAGGGTATGTCAGATTCTCAAGCATAGTATTTCTAAGTTCAATTAACTACAAACTGAAGACACAGGCTGATTAAGTGATCAGAAAACTAAGGACAGGCTATTGGACCAAAAAGTTTTCATTTTAATGCATTGATCCACAGCTGCCATTAGACTGGTTTTTTTGTTTTTTGGTTTTTGTTTTTTGTTTTTTTTGGCTCTTGGCCATACCTGGGTAGTATTCAGGGATTACTCCTGGTGGGCCTAAGGGCACTAAATAGGGTGCCAGAATTAAAAAAATAAATAAAAATTGAAATTGGCTGCATACAAGACCAATACTCTGCCTGCTGGACTATCGCTCCAGTCTCCAAACTATTATATTTATGTCTAGTGACTTTTTAGCATGGATTCCCAATATAAACATAATATTGTATCCAATGTTTATGGAAAGTTGTTCAGTATTTAAATTTAATGTAACTTCCCTTCAAAATACTACCACAGCAAGATATTTAAGTATAATTTGCAGGTAAATTTGCAGTGGCTACCAACCACTGCAGCTTATTTCTGATTACTTGCATAAACTGGTAGTTCTAATTTCAGAATTGGGAAAATTAGTTATCTGTTATCTGAAAAGTTTTTGAAAGTAAGGAAAGAACTACAAAAGGGTCTAGTTCAGAGATGTTTTAGGCCTTTTGAAAGAATGAATTATAAGCTGCTAGAAATACTACAGGAGATAAGGTGCTTGCCTTGCATGCAGCCAGCCCTAGTTCAAATCCCCAGGACCATATATAGTTCCCTAAATTGAGCCAGGGACCACACCAAAGCACAGAGTCAGGTATATGAGTTCGTTCTCCCCAAGGAATGAATTATAGAAATAATACAAAAATAAAGACCACTGAAGAAAGGCTGGAACACATGATTTGCAGGGAGGAAGCCCAGGTTAGATCCTTGGCATTACATGATACCCTAGCACCAATAGAAGCCATACCAAGCACTGACTAAGGAATAGCCCTGACAATGCCAGGTATGACTCCTCACCCCACCAAACAGGAAAAGAAAAAGAAATGAAAAGAATGGGCAAAAGTAATAAAGATCAAAACTAACAAATGCTGGGGCTGGAGAGACAGTATAAAAGATAAAGCATCTGGTTAGCATGCAGCCATGGTAGCTGCAACCTGGTTCAAATCCTGGCAACTGTATATGGTCCCCCAAGTACCATCAAGAATGATCTCTGTGCAATCAGGAGTAAGCCCCAAGCATAAGCAGGTGAGACCTCAAAAACAAAAAACGAAGACTTTAACCAATTTAAATCACTGAATGATCCCAATTTTCTAAATGGAATCTTTAGTCGTAAATTATCATAGCCTTCATTTATGAAAGGGCCTTCAGAATACTAAAAATTTTTTGAAGTCTCAAAACTGTGTCTCTGCTTGGAATGAAGAAAGACAAAGTCCTTGACAGTGACATAAAATGAGGGAAAACTGAAAACTAAAGGAGTTTTTAAGGTAAGTTACAAATATATCCCCAAACTTTGATCACAAAACAATGCATTACATAAAAGACTTAAGAAAAACACAATAATCATGCCTTTTTTGAATAAAGGACTGGAAAATAATAAGTGCAAAACTCAAAGGAGGAAAAAAAAAGTCTTTTTTAGCTGAAAGCGGAAAGAACATACTGAGAAAAATCTAGAGAGGCCATCTGTCCAATAGCATTGAACCAACTATATGATAACCCGAGGCTCACTTAAATTTAGAAAGTAAATATATATGTGTATACATACCAAATTTGAAGCAGAAGGATGTATTACTCATTGACTTATCCATACATCATAATTACTAAAAGAAATTACTGATGCTAAGACTGGGTAAATACTCTATGGGTCAGTTTCATGATCTTGCCAAGAGTATGTGATGGCTATTTCCCCGTTTCCATTGTAAAGTCAACACTGTAAGTCCAGATATATGATATTTTGTGTTTTTTTCATGAAAGATAAGTTTTATAATCTCATGTATTACCGAATTTTAAATCAAAGAGAAAGTTTTCACTAAGAGGAAAATAGACAAGCAGAAAATATTCCATACATGTCAGTGCTACAAATCAGCAACCAGCAATAAGCCTCCTTACCAGAAGTTTTATCTATGAGGTTCATTTTCTTGGAGCGATTTCTTTCTCTTCAGATGTCTTTAAAAAAAAGGCTTATAGTTTACATACAAAGAAATACTGAGAGTTATATACTAACCTGGCCCAATCCAGGCATACCTCCTCCAAGTCTAAGAAGTCTGTCCATTTTTCTAAAAAAAAAAAAACAGGAACAAAGAAAAATGTTCCTAAGCACAAAAGTGTTTACTCAATTGCTATCTATATAATTCACCTTCAGTCACTCAGTATGTCAAAAATATTGGTGGTAATTACAACACAACATCAGACTTCCTGTTAATTAACACCACATATTAATTCAAGAAGCTGTCTTCCATGCTAATTAACAGACCTTATTTTACAGCTTTGGTTTTGGGTTATCCCCAGTTTTAAAGACAAGCAATCTTAGCATACTTTCAAAACTTTGCTATCATTAAGTTAATTATATTTTCTTATTGTTATCTAATAAAGTACCTGAATGAGGAGAAAGTGCCCGAAATGCTTATCATATGTATGATTGAATTTCCTTCCATTTGTCCTGAGTGTACAAATAAAATCCTCACTTTTAAATTAAATTTTAACATCCTCATTAGTAAGTTCTGTGCTAATTAACTTACAGCTTGTCAGTTATCATCAAAACTACATGTGAAAGACATTGTGAGCAGATTATGGATCTCTGAATTAGCATCAAAGGCTTTCTGAAAACGAACTCATTATACTAAAAGAAATATTATAAAGTAAATATTAAATGCATTAAGATAGTGTTCTAGAACCTACACAGATATTTTGTTCTTTTTCAAATGTTGTGAAGATACACATCTCTTTCAGGAGAGAAATTCAGTTGCTGTTCTCAATTATAACTTTATAATTAATCAGTATAAAGAAAGTTAACTTTGAAGTATGAATTTAATTTGGCTTTTTAAATTATTTTATTTGATTTTTTGGTTTGTCAAGCCAGGCCAGCTGTGCCCAAGGCTCAGGGATCACTACTGGAGAACACAGGGATCAAGTGTAGTGCTAGGGATCAAACTAGGGTCAGCCACATATAAAGCAAACACTTTACTCGTACTATCTCTCTGGCCCTACTGTTTTTTTCCTTTTTTATTAATATCTGGAAAAACAAGACAATCTGATAACCTCAGAAAATTTGGAAGAATTCAAGTAAAGAGATAGTATGCTAATAGACTTCAAATTGCAGTGATGAATAACCCAATTATAAAAATATTGCTATCATTAAATATCATGAAGGAATTTTTCTACTTGTAAACTGCTATGCCTTAAACTGTTCCTAAGTTAATGCTTTAGCAAAAGTATAACTACAAATTATATTTTGAATTAAATGTTAACAAATCAGTCTTTCACCGATGTTGCTTACTAGTTAGAACTGCTATACAAACTAAAACTCAATGATGTACTGATGATCTTTTTCTTACTAATTATATGCGAAAAATTCTACTATCAATTTAATCTCATGGATATATAAAAATGCAATTATCACAAACTTGACTCAAGTCTACATACAGGGAAGTGCACAAGTGATACAGCCATGGAATTTTCTACAAGTGAAAACTCCCACATTACAATGAAGAAACATTACTAGCAAATAAAAACACCCCTCATTCCCTCTTAATCTCCATCACCCTATAAAGGAAGAATTCCAACATAGATTAGTTCTGCCCTTTTTGAATTCTATATAACTAAAATCAAATTTTGTCCAGACAAAATTTCAATTTTATAAATATTTACTTATCCCCTATTAGCAACATCTTTAAATAAAATCCCCATCAACTTCTCACTTTAATTTCTCAATTCAAATATGGCATTCAATAACTTACTTTTTATTGGGGGAGAGAAGTCTGTTTGGGCCACATGGTGCCAAGGGATGAAACCTGGAGCTCCTTATAAAAATCAAGGTCTCCAGCCCCTAGTGATATCCCCAGTCCTCAATACAATTTTTGAAGACTATACCCACCCCTGCCAAAAAAAAAAAAAAAAAATCTGTGGATTTTAAAATACTAAAGATGTCCTGCTAGAACATGTTATCAAAGGGAAAAAAAAATCTTTAAACCATTTCAAACTTACAAATTCAAAAAACTGGAAAAAACAAACCCCACATATACTTAGACATATATATATATATATATATATATATATATATATATATATATATATGCCAGGCCAAAGTCAATTCCCAGCTGTGTTCAGTTTATCTGTTCTCCCCGTGTTGTTTCTGATGACTTTACACAGACTCCAGATGCTGTGAATATACATGAGCGAAGTGGGGAACAGAGGGAAAGAGAATCTGGCAGGTCAAACTTGTGTTTTAGCAAAATTTGATGTCTCAGCAAACAAGAAAAAATATTTAACAAACAAAAACACTTAAAATAAAATAATTTGGTTCAATATATTAAATTTAAAAATGAACTCAACTGATAAATTTCTAAATCACATTTTAAAAAAAAGTTTATAAGTAAGTGACAAAATGACAGTTATCTAAATGACTTTTTCATACTGACCTTAAATCTGGCTACCTATTACACAATTTTAGTTTGTATATTTAAAATCATGTATTTTCACATACTTTTTAGACCCTGAAAGAACCAGTAAAATACATTCTCAATTCTCACCTGGTCAGTAACTACAACTCTTATGCTGAAAAGCTTCAATCCGTTGAATTTGACAGGTTCCTTTTTTTCAAGCTCTTGCTAATACTGGCAGGTATACCTTTTCCCAGGTCTTTTCCCCCCTTTCTGTCCTAGGAAAAAAATGGGTAGTGGGGAGGTAAGTAAGATATAATTATTTTAAGAAGCACAAAAAAATGCCAAGAGCATAATAAAAATTAAAATAATAAAAAATTTAATTGCCATTTCCTAAACGTATAGAATGAAAATGACTACTCCCAAGAGCAACAGCACATAGAGATTAAGCCCACATCAAATTTTGATTTTTTGGGGAACTGCTATTATTTTAAGGGTAGAAATCTCATGACTTTGAGAGGTTCTTCAAAGAACAAAAACTACTTTGTAATTTAAAAAAGAAAAAATATGCCTTCTAGTGTGAGGCTGGAGAGAAAGTAAGGAGGTAGGGCTATTATTGCCTTGCAAGCAGATGACCTGGGTTCGCTCCCTGGAACTCCATTTGGTCTACTGAGCCACCCAGGAATGATCTCTGAGTGAAGAGGCAGGAGTAAGCCTTGAGCAATGCTGGGTCTGGCCCAAATTATGAACCAGCTACTTACAGGTTTAAAGAACATTACTGCAAAATGTATCATAAAATCTCAACACATTTTTTCAAATATCTTGAACATTTGCTATTTTATTATTCTAAAAATTAGTTCATCGCATCTTCATCAATTGTTCCCAAGTATGCAAAAAAGAGACAAAATTTTTTAGGTGGAAGAATAAAAAACTTGTTCAAAATGATACAATAGCAAAACACATTATAGTTACTGCATCTCCTTCTATTCTTTTCACATTTTATTTATTTTTATCGAATCACCATGAGATAGTTACAAAGTTGTTCATGACTGGATTTCAGTCACACGATATTCCAACACCTGTCCTTCACCAGTGTACATTTCCCACCATCGATGTTCCCAGTTTCCCTCCAGCCACCCCCATACTCTCCTCCGCCCCCTACCCCCCAGTCTGCCTCTATGGCAGACACTTTCCTTCTCTCTCTCTTCTTCTTTTTGGGCTAATATGTTTTGCAATACAAACACTAAAAGGTTATCTCCAACGAAGGACCAGTCCTTTTAGCCAATGTTTCTACTTTCCTTGGGTATTAGTCTCCTACTATGTTTTTAAAATATTCCGTAAATTAGTGTGGTCTGTCTGCCCCACTCCCTGACTCATTTTCACTCGATACTCAACATATTCATCCAATTATAAGCAAATTTCATAACTTCATTTTTCCTGATGGCTGTGTAGTATTCCATTGTGTAGCTGTACCATAGTTTCTTTATCCAGTCATCTGTTCTTGGGCATTCAAGTTGTTTCCAAATTCTGGCTATAGTGAATACTGCTGAAATGAACACCTAAGTGCTGATGGCTTTTCTATACTGTGACCACTATGATAGTGACAGTGATAGTTGGAAATGATCACTTTGGGCCCCTAGAGTCTATTTCTAAAAGTGGTATTGCTGGGTTGTATAGAAGCTCAATTTCTAGTTTCCTGAGGAATATCCATATTATTTTCCAAAAAGGCTGGACCAGTTGGCATTCCTGCCAACAATGAAGGAGAGTCCTTTTTTCCCTGCATCTACGCCAGCACTGGTGGTTCTTTTTTTTTTTTTAAATTGAATGACCGTGAGATAGTTAACAAGCTTTCATGTTTGAGTTTCAATCATATAATGATCAAACACCCATCTCCCCACTAGTGCACCACCATCAATGTCCCCAGTATACTCCCCCTTCCAACCCTTCCCCTGCCTCCATGGCAGACAATTTCCCCCATACTCTCTCTACTTTTGGGCATTATAGTTTGCAATACAGATACTGAGAGGCTATTGCGTTGGAGCCTTTATCTACTTTCAGCACACATCTCCCATCCTGAACGATTCTTCCAACCATCATTGTCTTAGTGATCCTGTCTCTATTCCAGCTGCCTTCTCCCCAGCTCATGAGACAGGCTTCTAACTAAATGGGACAATATTCCTGGCCCTTGTGTCTACTGTTCTTGGGTGGCAGTCTCATACTGTTATTTTCTATTCCACAAATGAATGCAGTCATTCTGTCTGTCCCTCTCTTTCTGATTGATTTCACTTAGCATGATACTCTACATGTCCATCCACTTATAAGCAAATTTCATGACTTCATCTCTCCTAACAGCTGCATAGTATTCCACTGTGTAGATGTACCAAAGTTTCTTTAACCAGTCGTCCATTCTCAGGCACTTGGGCTGTTTTGAGATTCTGGCTATTGTGAATAAGCACTGGTTGTTCTTGTTCTTTTTGATGTATGTCAGTCTCTGTGGTGTGTGATGATATCTCATTATTGTTTTGATTTGCACCTCTGTGATTAGTAATGTAGAGCACTTTTTCATATGTCTTTAGCACATTTGCATTTTATTGAGGAAGTTTCATTTCTTCTCCCCATTTTTTGATGGGCTTGGCTATTTTATTCTTATAAAGTTCTACCAGTGTCATATATGTCTTTGATATTAAACCCTTATCAGATGGGAACTGGGAAAATAATTTTTTCTATTCTGTGGGCTGTCTTTGTATCTTGGTCACTGTTTCTTCTGAGGTGCTGAAGCATCTTAGATCAATATAGTTGAATTTATTTCTACTTCAACTTGCTTGGTCAATGGTATTTTATCTTTGAAGATGTCTTTAGTTTCAATGTCACGGAGGGTTCTTTCTACATTTTCCTCTATGTACCCTATGGATTTAGGTCTGATATTGAGATCTTTAATCCATTTTAATCTGACTTTTGTGCATGATGGTAGAGGTCTGAGTTAATTTTTTTTGCATGTAGCTGCCCAGTTTTCTCATATCATCTGTTAAGGACGCTTTTCTTGTTCCTTTATCAAAGGTTAAGTGATCATATATTTGAGGCTCTGTGTCAAAATATTCAACTCTATTCCATTGATCTACAGATCTGTCTTTATTCTAATATCATGTTGTTTTTTTTTAAGGGCACACCTAGTGATGGTCAAGGTTTATTTCTGGCTCTGCACTCAGGAAATATTCCTGGCGTTGCTTGGGGACTGTATGGGATGCCAGGGGCTTGAACTCAGGTCAGTGCATGCAATGCAAACACCCTATCTGTGTTACTGCTGTGTTATTGCTCCAGTCTCTACCATGCTGTTTTAATTACTACTCTTTTGTTCTACAGTTTAAAGTTGGAAAAGGAGACACCACCCATCTTCTTTTCCCCAAGGATTGCTTTAGCTATTCTGAGGGTTTATTGTTTCTTACAATCTACTTCTTTAAAAAAAAGCCATGGGTTTTGGTTTTTTTGTTTTTTTTTGGGGGGGGGGGCTTTTTGGGTCACACCTCGCAATGCACAGGGCTTACTCCTGGCTCTGCACTCAGGAATTACTCCTGGTGGTGCTCAGGGGACCATATGGGATGCTAGGATTCAAACCCAGGTCGGCCATGTGCAAGGCAAATGCCCTACCTATTGTACTATCGCTCCAGCCCCAGTCATGGGTATTCTTATAGAAACTGCAATGAATGTATATAATGATCTGGTGATTAATATCACCAATATTGCCATTTTGGTGATGTTAATCTCCCAATCCATGAGTAGGGGATGTGTCTATAGTTCCTCATACCCTCCTTTATTTCTAAAGTAGTATTTTGTAGTTTTCATTGTATAAGTCCCTCACCTCTTTAGTCAAGCTGATTCCAAGGTACTTGAGATTCTGTGGCACAATTGTGAATTGGGACTATTTATTATACATCTCTTTCTTCTCTTTCATTATTTGAATAAAGAAAATCCATGGACTTTTGTTTGATTTTGAAATCTGTTACTTTAATAAATCTACTGTTTCTAGGAGCTTTTTTGTAGTCTTTCGGATTTTCTTAATATATCATTTGCAAATAGTGAAAGCCTGACTTCTTCCTTTCCTATCTAGATACCCTTGATATATATATATTTTTTTTGGCCTACCTGCTAAGGCAAGTATTTCTGTATTATGCTGAATAGGAGTGGTGAGAGCAGGCAACCCTGTCTTGTGCCTAATAATCCTAGAGTCACCTTCCATTCTTATGGTGCCCCAAACATCAGTTCATCTTTCAAAAAGACTTAGAGATACAGTTTCTAGTTCTTTCCTTGAACTTCCTTCACAGTTAAGATTCAGAATTTTCCGTATTTTATGCATATCAAAAAGATTTTCACAAGAAAGCTATTTGTCTATTAGAAAAATATCAGGTGAATATAAAAAAATAGGAAACAGGCTTGAGAAATAATACAGTGGGTAAGTACCTGCCTTGTCTGTGACTAACCTCAGTTCAATTCTAGCATCCCAAATGGTCCTGAGCACTGCCAGGACCTGAGTACTTTCTGAGTACTGTGATTCAACATCTTTGCTCTCTAGTCTCCAACAATGACCCAAAGCTGCTTATAAGCCAAGGTTTTTTAATTCTGTACCAGTGCAAAAAATTTTTTTGTTGTTGTTAGAAGGGGCTGTCAAATGCATTACAGGTATTTAATAGTAACTCCATAGTCCTGCTATCCACTCAACCTCGTAGTACCACCCAGTCATGATAGTCAAAAAGTATCTCTAGACATTACCAATAGGCCACAGAATGACAAAACTACTTCCAGTTGAGAATCACTGATATAAAATCACTGATATAAAATCAGACTATGTGACTTTAGATAACAATACAATTGCATAGTTTTCTCAAACTTAAAAAAAAATTGCTGAAAATTTGGGCAGTTCTTCAAAGTTCATCAAGGCAATTCCACCCCACCGATGATCTCTAAGAACTGTCAACAGATATTCAGAGCAAGTATATACATGCACATGACTGTTTGTAACATGTATGTTTATATTTATTATACATTTCAAAGATTTAAGGATTTAAAAATATTTGACTACAATTAATTTTATTAATTTACCATTAGTCCATAATGCAATATGATATAAAGTTCAGGAGCACAACTTCACACCTATGTAAGTGTATAAGCCTCACCACTCTCACCAGTGAAGTTTTATTGCCATTTTCATTATCAGATTAAACCCCTTCTACACTCTTCTCCATCCACTTCCCCTAAATCTCTGGTAATCATCTTATTTTCACAA